GCCTCGTCAGGTAATACTATTTGGCAATATCCTTTGAGTCAATACTTACGCATGCTCAATTCTAGCATTACACTGGTGGAAGAATCTCTGTCATTGATGACCGGTAGTTCTGTGCTGGGGTTCTTGTCGTTGCCTGATGATCAAGAGTGCTTGTGGGAATCGTTATGGAGTCGTGATCAGATGGTGGGTTTAAATTTATGCAAAAACCATCACTTACTTAGTACAACGTCTTGCTTTTTCTAGGATGTGGTTGACTTGACCAATGATGGTGCTGTTGATCCTATTAGCTGGGAGGACAAGGTTATTGAGCGGTATGTTTGCATTTTGTTTCTTGTTCCTGTCTTGTGTTAACGTAAACTGCTCCTGTGAACGATTTCAAGACTTCACGAAAAACTGGCCGATTTGCTCTCATCTGCGGGAATATGAAACATCTATTTTTTGTGTTTGGTTACGGTGGACTTTGCATATATAGTACTGTGAATCAATAAACTGGTAACAACTGTTTGCTTTTCATTGGCCTTCCTTGCTTGAAGGGTTAGGGGGGTCTAGGCCTTTTCCATTCCGATACTTTATTCATCAATTGATTTTCGTTTTTCACAATGGCGGGGTCCGCCACGCACAGAACGTACAACCAATGGTTTGTTGTTGAATTGGAAATGAATCGATCTATGCGACCCATCAACCTGGAGTTCGAATGGAATGAAATGAGTCTTCAAATTTGGCCATGTTGTGTGCACAAACAAACAAGCCTGCTGCAAATTTGGGGTTCGACAAGCCCAGCCAAAAATCCCAACGGGTTTCTGCAAGCTTCTGGTGTTCAGCCAACTTCTTGTTGAATCGCACAACAAAATTAGAAAAGACGTGGCAAAGAAAGATGGAATTGACCTTGAAATAACCCACAACAAACCCCAAACTGTGAGAGAACAAAAAGGACCATGCGCACAGGTTCATCGCCGTTCTTGTCTTTCCATATCAACTTCAAAAATCCACACACCAATTTATTATCCACTGGCAAAATATTAAGCTATGGTTCACTTGCAAGTAGGTCATCTTCACTCCAGCTCAAATTAATAGTCGTGCATCTTTTTTTATGAGTGATCAACATTTGATTTTAAAAAATTGATTCTTCTGGAAATCCACATCATACAAATCAATAGAGGTTTCATTCGTTTGGCGATCTTGTAAATGCCGGTGGTGACGCCTTCATCCATACCGATCTTCAACAACCTGTCACTGTCCCAATCTCCCGTGCTGTTCCCATTGCCGAGACTGGATTCGATGCCTCCTTCACTCATCCCGCCAGCTTTGCTCAATCCAGAGGTCTAGGAAACTTTTCAACCCACGATGTTGGCTCTGTCAGTGTCGTCAACAGATATAACTCCATCTACTCAACCGATGTCTACTTTGGCTACAATAAACTTCCAAGCGGTGATGTGCAGGGCCAATCATTCCGGTTACTTCTTGACACTGGAAGCAGTGATACTTGGACTCGTGGTCCCACTTGTGCAAGTTATCCTGGCCGGGTTGATACTGATAACTCTTGTGATGGCAAGAAACTCCAACTCCCATTCCCAAACATCGATGCCATCGTTTATAATGATAACACCAATCTTCACGTCCCCCTCGAGTTTTATGGAAACCAAGGATCCGACCCAGCAACTGCTCAATCTATTCTTGGAATGGATGCATACACTGCTCTTGTGACATTGAACGGTGTCACTGCTGAACAGCTTCACGTGGGTGTAAGCACAATTGAAGTTGGGTTCCCCAACACCAGGTTTGATGGTATTCTTGGTCTGGCATATGACAGCATTTCAAACATTGGGGATGCCTTACGTAAAACAAACTTTAAAGGCAATGCAAACTCAAACTTTATTGACAACTTGGATTCAAAAAAGTATGCCAAAGTTTTTGGAATTTACCTTTCTAATGTGAACGATGGTGATAATGGTGAATTTACCCTTGGAGGTTACGACACGAACAAATTCGACGTCAACAGAAGAATTACTTATTTCCCTGTTAAAAAGCAAGACTATTGGACGCTTGACTTTTCTGGGGCAAGCTTTGGTGTCGCTGGTACTGGAGTTAGTGGTTCTCTCAACGGTGGTGTGAGTGATGTTATTGTTGACAGTGGCACTCCCACTGTTATCCTTGACGATACGGTTGCTGACCGTATCAACAAGGCTGTTGGTGAGAATCAATTAAACTGTACTTTTTCAAATTGTATAATGTTAAATACTGACCAAACTACTAAAACACTTGTTTATGTTACCATCTGTCACAGGCGGACAATATGACAGCAGCACTGGACTCTACAGCTTTGATTGTAACAATATTAACAACTACCTCACCGTTCACATGAACTTGGGTGGCTACGGCTTTGATCTCCCCTCTGCCTATTACATTCAACAATACACAGACGGCTGTTTCTCGCTTATCAGAGGTGGTGCTGCTGCTAACAAACAAGGTATGTGGTTTTCACGTAGTTTCGTGTAGTTGACAATGGTTTGGTATCGCATACAGTACTAAATGTGACATTATTTTTCGTAGCCGTTATTGGTGCCCCATTCATGCGTGCATACTACACAGTAAGATGACCTTTAATATTTATTCTGTATTGTCATATTTGTGTGCACTCAAAATGTAACATATGAACTAATACTTCAATCTCCACATTTAAATTGACAAAATAGATTTTCGACAAGCAAAACTACAGAGTTGGATTTGCTTCTGCAATTCATTCCTCACCTGGTGGTCCGACCAGTATCACGTCCATGGTGAGCCAAACCAGCCTTACTGCTACCCAAACAACACCTACTGCAACCGAATCTGCGAAATCTGGCTCTGATTCCTCAAACAATCCTACCTCAAGTGCCGACGACAATGGCTTGGCTACTGCTACTACCACTTACACCAACACCAACAGTATCGTTCACAATGGTGTTCACAATGGTGCTCACAGTGGTGCCTCGGCTGGGAAAGAATTTTTTGTCGCGTCTTTGATTGGTTTTTTCGCGTTTGGTATGATGATTTAATTGGTTTAAATTTGAAGCGCTAGTTCTCGTTTAATTTTCCTCATGAGATCTGCCGTTTTTTTCGAGTTTTACTTTGCCTCATGGTTTTACTTTTACATTTTTTTACCACATAGTCAGTACGATTTCTTTTATGGACTTGACTTCTTTTTTTTTGGAAGTGAGGACCTCATGCTGTCTATTTTTTTGACTGGTTTTTAAAATGTTTCTCTTCTAGACTAGAAATGTCTTTTGGCCAATAAGTTTTTTTTGTTACGTTTACGAGCTTCATAAACCCAATAGCGATTTAATGCCCGATCCTAATTTATTAATTTCTTTTCTTCACTTTCTTTATGTCGATGGCGCGCGGTTTTTCGGTTTCCAGTGTTCCTATTGTGACCCAAATACCTTTTAAAGAAAATAGAAAATGTCTGTTTTTGCCCTGCTCTCATCTATAACCCTGTGCCTTCAAAATTCGATTTCAGTGCAGCAATGTCGTCTTAATAGTTGTCTTGATAGTCTCAGATGAATTTGAAGAAGGCAACAAACATAGATACCCGCCAATTTTGGACGAGGCGGAGATATGAAAGAACGAGAAAAAAATGAACAAATTAGGACCATTTCCATGAACTATATATTTCTATCGAGTCGTCGTTATTAAAAATCTAGCCGTTGCCATCCTGATTTTCTGTCGAAAAGTCGAAGTCACCACGCCCGTCTAGCGAAGCGGTATCGCGTTTCCCTCCTAAGGAAAAGATCGTGGGTTCAATCCCCACGTCGGGTA